GATTCCATGGCCCGGTGGGGATAGAGATCGGCAAAATGGAAGCACAACAAACTGCGTAAACATACGTTCTCGGAAGCCCGCGCGGATTTCTGGGATCGGCCCTGGACCCCCCCCCCTCCCTCCCTGGCGCGCGGAGCACGCCAGAGGCAGCGCCGGGGAAGCGCCGCCAGGGAGGGCCCAGCGCCGATCCAAAAGATCCGCGTGGACCTCGGAGAAGTTGCCTCTATGCAGTTTTTTACAAATGACGACGTCCGAACCCTGCCCCCACCAACCATCGTTGTGGATGCCATGACAATGGACACTCTAAAAGTCCGATCAATGAATTAGAGATGTGTTTAAAATGTGCAAAGCGTGTTCTGAACATGCTTCAAGCCTGTTTTTACATGTTGAAAACATGTTTGAAACATGCTTCAGACATCTGGAAATGATTTGGCAGCATGCTCCCTCTCCATGAATCGACGTCCACAAAACCATCGATTCTCCCGAATCGACGGGAGGCCGGGGCAGGGTGCGGATCTCGCCACGCGCTCGGCGAACTCCGAAGCCTGGCACCCGCCGCCCCTCGAATGGCCCGCATCGTGGATCGGCGAGGGCACGGTTCGGAGTCCGCCGCCGACTCTACTTCGCGATCAGAGGGTGTACTTTGGCGGCGCGCAGCAGGGGGGCACGGCGAGGGGGGGGGGAAGGCTTCTGAGAAGGAGGCTGCTCCTCTGGAGGCGCGGGCCTCACGTCTGCAGACGAGGCCCGCGCCTTCTGAGAACCGGCCTCCTCCCGAGAAGCCTCCCTCCCTCCCCGCCTGCCCCCCCCAAGTCTGCGCGTGGCCGAGGATGCGCCGGCGACCACGACGCCCTGCAGCGCCTCCAGGGGCGCGCGGAGCCCCAGCGCCGCCTGCCCCAGCAGCTCCGCGACCACCTCTCTCCGGGGCCCCGCACGAGAGGCCCTGCGGCGCCGGGCCGCGCGGTGGGGCCCGCCGGGGGGGCCGAGAGGAGGCCCTGGGGCCTCGGAGCACCTCTGCGGGGCCCCGAGCGACCGCGCGGCGCAGCGGCCGCGCGGAGGCCGCGCGGTCCGCCGCCGCGCGGTCTCCAAGGAGGAGGAAGCGGAGGAGGAGGAGGAGGAGGAGGAGGAGGAGGAGGAGGCGGAGGAGGAGGAGGAGGAGGAGGAGGAGGGGCCCCCGGAGGCCCCAGGCTTGACGCGCGGTGCGCGGAGCTCCGGGCCCAACTCGCGCGCAGCTGCCTGCGACGAGGGTCGGGCGCCGGAGCCCGGGCTCGGCCCTCGCCCAAGACGCCCGGGCGGCGCCACGGGGCGAGGGGGCGCCGGCAAAGGGGGAGAAGATTACGTTGGGCGTGTCCCCCTGCAGGGGGATTTTCGACGAGAAAAATATCCCAAAAATGCCCCAAAAAGGATTTTGTCTGCTTTATATTTATATATATATACACACATATATATAATAGAATAGTAATAATAATAATAAACATAATCATAATCATAATCATAATCATAATCATAATCATAATCATAATCATAATCATAATCATAATCATAATAACAACAACAACAACAACAACAACAACAACAACAACAACAACAACAACAACCACCATCATCATCATCATCATCATCATCATCATCATCATCATCACCACCACCACCATCATCATCATCATCATCATCATCATTATCATCATCATCATCATCATCATCATCATCATCATCATCATCATCATCATCATCATCATCATCATCATCATCACATAATAATAATAATAGTAATAATAATAATTAATATTAATAATAATAATAACATTAAACACTCTATTGTTGGACTATGTTTGGATGAGTTTGGGGGTGTGATTTATTTTTCGTCGAAAGTTACATATAGACATATAATAAGAATAAACACTCTATTGTTGGACTATGTTTGGATGATTTTGGGGGTGTGCTTTATTTTTCGTCGAAAATCCCCCTGTAGGGGGACAGGCCCGACTTAAGGGGAGGAGAACCTGGAGCACCATGTGGGACCTGCCCCAGAGCAGGAGCTTGCAGGAGATGGCTCTACCCTTTCTCCTGCCTCATGCTGCGCCGAGCGCAGCGGCCGCATCGTCCATGGGCGCATGCACCCCGAGTGTGCCCCTACACACGTAACGACACCCAGTGTGCCCACAGACGCCCGTGGCTGGGAAGTGAGAGCGGCAGTCGGCATAGGCCCCAGACCCTGCCCTTCGAGAAGCAGGCAGACCCTGCCCTCCAACCCCCACCGCCCGAGAGAGAGAGAGAGACATCCTCGGCGAGCGGCCCGAGCCCCCAAAGAACCGCGCGGCGACCCCCTGCCCTCCAACCCCCACCGCCCGAGAGAGACACCCTCGGCGAGCGGCCCGAGCCCCCCCCCAAAAAAACGACCGCGCGGCGACCCCGAAGCCGCTCTGGCGCACCGCGCCTGCCCTCCTGCGCGGAGCGGACGGCCGGCCTCGGGGCCACGCCTCGGGGATGGACAGGCCCCCCC